GCTCGCTGCGATTGGTGCAGAGCGTCACCTCGATGCGGAAGCGACGATAAGGCAGGAAGCGGCGAGGAGGCAGGAAGCGGCAGCGTGGCAGTCCCCCTGCCGCCAGCGTTCTGTGTTCGCCACTTTACTTTCTCAGCAATGTTCTGCGATCACTGCTTTCCAGGCTTATCTCCGGTACAGAGCCTGGGTTGCTCAACGGCACCAAACTATGTCCCCTCTCGTCCAACCAGGACTCCACAATCTGTGAAGGCACTTTTAAACTTACCGCTTCTCCACATCACTCCAGTTGCTGAAAAGCCTTTCATTTTCTTTTTGCAGATGCTCATTTTTTGCTTGCAGTCTTCCCAGGCAGTCCAGACAGTAACCAATCAGCTCCCTAACCACCTCCTCCGGACTCGAAACTTTCTGTAGCTTCAGAGACCCAAGTCTAAACTAGGACACAAAGAAAACCTGAGTTACTGCACCTGTACTAGAAAGATTACAAAACCTTGCTCCAATTAACTTCTATATGTACTTCATAAGCATAAAAAAGTACTTTACAGTCCTCCAGTTAAAAGTGGTGTAACAAATTTGTCACAAGAGTAATTGTGGACTATGTGGAATAATCTACCTGTCAATTGTTTATGCAGCTAATAGGTCTTGTACAAATCAGAGGTAGTCAGTAGTGTAAGTATAAATGTGCAACCACAGATTTTATATAAAAGGCATTTTGATGTAATGCAGAACCACAGGAACGGAAAACCTAGTGGCATTGCTAACATATTCTTGCCATCTGCCCAATGAACTAGGTGACGAAACTTGCTGCCTATTCTGGTACCTGCAGCAGCAATACAACCACGTAAACTTTACTCATAAAACAAATGAACATTAATTACCTTTTATTTAAAGTAGTACTATAAATGCCTCTCTACCATGCTTGTATGCACCTGATAGATGAAAACTAGTCCCCAGGTTTTCCCCTTCAGGGCTCAGACAGCAAATGCTTAATAAAAAAAGGAGTTCTTAATTAAATAGGCAGCCTCAATAATTCAATGAGATTAAAGGATAGGGTCTACAGTGAATAGTTATATTTCCTCAGCAATGGGAGTGTTATACAGGATAGACAAGAGGTCTGAACAGATTTGTTCTGCCTGGTTTGGCAGAAACAACAGGAAGTTGTTGTTTCTGTTATCTTAAAGGAAGAATAGTTCAATCATGCACATTAAAGCATCAGCTAAACTATAAATATGCAAAGCTGGATGAACATATAAAAAATGTTCAGCGTGACAGTTTGAGGCAATTGAACAAGAAAGATATTAAGGTTGTCTGAATGGAGTCACAGGCATTATCTTAACAGAAGCAAGCCAGAAGCAAAAGGCCTGACTTTGGTGCTCTGGACTGGGAAGCTGATGGGGAATCTGAACTGCCTTAAGGTACACTTCTGCAGCTGATAGAGCCTACAGAAGCCACAGGGTGTTTTTCTAACACCTCTCCACATCCAGCAGCACCACCATTTGCCCAGCTTCACAGAAAACTAGTTGAGGAAACAGATCCAGAGAAAAGCAGAGTGGGTTGGATGACACTATCCAGACTTTGGCCAGATTAAACTACAGCAGAAGCAGATTTGTCAGGAAAGAGGCACCAAAACGACCTGGCTTTGACTGGAAATGTCTCTAGAAACGCTGAGCTGGTGAGGGGTATGTGGAAGGAGAAAGGGTCCTCTCTCGCATCTTGTAATTATTAAAAGGATTCACATAACTGTTGTAGCACTTCTCCATGAACACAACTATTACTCATCTTTTCAACTCGAATACATGGCAATAACATCTTAAAAAAAATGCAAATATAAGTGGTACACATTAGGGAAGAGTTCATTCTGTGTTGTGGTACTTCATCTCTTAAAATCAGAAATGCCATTGCATTCATTTTTCTCCCCACTTTAGTTCATTTTACTTGGCAAGGCATGGCAAATAACAAAATAAAAGTAATCTGTGAAAAAAATGTGTAGCATTTGTTAACACTTTTTAAAAAGTGTCGTTTACTATTACCATACATAAGATTTTGTTGAAAAAGACCTTGTAAAACTTGCTCATAAAGATATTAAAGGCATTGTTTGAAACAAATAACAGTCCTTCAATTTATATATTTTATTTGTGGAAGTCTCTGCAAGAACATATGATACCATCATAAGCTTCGTCAGTATGGTTAATTTATGAGAAAATGCAGCAAACCCAAAGATGTAACTTCAAATTAGCCACTGATCTTTATTCCAAATTCCCATGTACTGTCTCTAACTTGTTGTTTTCCTTCAGCTTACATACATCTGATGGCTGTAGATGAAAAGATGCATTTAACTTATTTTTGGAAATTAGATTACATTATCAGTAACCCACAGAGTGATGTGTATTCCCTGGATATCACACTTGCTGTTTGACAGCATTAACAAAGATGGACATCTGCGTAAAGGAAACTGTTTTTCATCACTTGCAAGCCACCACCATGCTATATGGATAAAGAGTTCAAGCCACACTTTAATACTAGTCACAGAGATAGAGAAGCACAGTAGCACAGATAAATAGCAACATAAATGTCTACTTTAACGGTGGAGAAAATAGCGGGAAGAGCACATCTTTTTCTTATGCTTTTAATATAATCAGCTGAGATATGTTCAATCAGGACAAATGCATATTGATCAAATCACAGTTTACTCAGCACAAGAGCATAAAATACGAACACTACTAAAACAGGTTAAAGTGAATAACAATAAATTTCAGCTGAAAGCCTGGTTCCACTCACAATCAAAATCACGCCAAACACACAGCAGACATTTCTAAGGCAATTGTAATTACAAACAAACACCAGTTCAGCCTCTTACTTAAACATACTACACAAACTGATACTGCTAGTGCAACGTGGAGTTTAGAACTGCAAACGACATCCTCAGCTTCATGTACATCTCCCATGAAAGGATTTCAGAAAATCTGTAAGAAAAAGCTACGTCTTCCTTTTTACAAAAGCTGAGACACCAAAAGAAGTAAAACCAGGCTTTTGGGCATGCTACCTTTTTTGATGAATTCTCAAAATGGAGAGGGAGAGAGGTCACGCTGCAAAGAGCGGAGCAAGAAATGCACGCCAGCACGACAAGCCACTGCTAATGTGTGAACCAACAGAGAGGAGGTGCTGGACAGATTTGCCACACTGCTTTGGAGACACAATGAATTCTGTTGCTCGTGTATTTAGGTGTTCATGTCAAAGTTAACACAGTAGCAGTCTTTAATTTAGTCTTGACGTCAGCCTTTATACAAAGCCATCGGCTATCGTATACTTTCTTACATGAAACTTCACTGTGCTGCTTTCCGTGTCTGATATGCTGTGATCTGCAGAGCATTTCTGGCAGGCCCACAGAAGGTAAGCAAAGCAAGACCATCACCAGGAGGCTTAAATTTATTAGGCAGGTGCTCACATATCAACTGGAAAAGAAAAATAATAATCATAAAGCTCCTGCAAAACAAGTATTCTTCTGTATCTTCCTCCCGCCCCTAGTCATCTAATATTAACTTAGTACAGTTGTAGGAGCTCATTATCTGGGTTACTTTGCAGCTACCTCCAGCACCTCAGTGCAGAAAAACATGGGACGTTTAGACACAGCCCTAATCACACCAAAAGTAACGTGATATTAGACATGAGGCTTTGTTTTGCCTCCTTCATGCAGAATGATATACGAAGTGTACTACGAAGCCTTCTCATGCAGTTTCTTCATCATGAAATCATTTGTTACATCAAGCTATTGCACTGTCTATTTAACCAACAGAAATGTTAGCACTAACAATAGTAATATTGTTATCTGAGCAAATTACAACTTATTGGCATTCACCCCTGTAAAGAGCCCAGCGCTGAGAGACTGATAAGCCATAAAGGCAGCCAGATCCATTTCATTTCCAAAGCATCAAGGCACAGCACGAGCCATTTGTAAAACAAGGTAAAGAAAATCAAGTCTCTGGACAGTTTTGCTCTGGAGTCCTGCTGGCATTCCAAATTGGAACACAAACTGGTAAAGGAGCAGATGAACAAAATAATACTATTTTAGATGCAAGGATTCTGAATTTTGGACAGATGTGTAATTTGCAGCGCTGATTAAGACAGAATTCTATTAAAACAGAATGGGGAGGGGTGTGGGGAAATAACAAAAAAAGGTGTTAGTTTTTCCACATACTGCTTTTTTCTGCTGCATGCAACTAAAACAAGATCTAGTTCAGTTATTTGTTCCTCATCACCAAAACTGCAGTACTGAAACTGGAAACAATTCTAGGAAGCCTCCCTAGAAGTACCTAACAACCATGACACCATAACAAACAGTTAACCGGGTGGGATATCAAGACAAACAGATCTTCCTTACTGCACGAGTGAAAGCTCAACATTAACGCTTCACTAAGCTCATTTCACATAAAACGATTTGGATCGCATTTCCAAGGTGAGCCTCCTTTTGTTAATTCCTGCACATCTCTAGATCATTTTCTGTTTCTTGCCATTCTTCCAGCTGCTGTAGCTCTCTAGCTTCATCTCATCTGCAGATGTAATTAATGTGCTTTCTACTTCCTCTTCCAGATCATTCAAGAAAACATTATGTAGAACATTAAAGCACTAAACACTTCATTTATACAGAAAATGAGCAGATCTGCTAGAGGGCCCAGTGGACAACAGACTGGCTGTGACTGATATACTGCTCCCCTTCAATATCTATTTTATTTTTTGTTGAGGTTTTTTTATTTTTGTTTTTTAAAGACACAGGAAGATGAATACAGAATCATTCAGAAAGTTGTGTTCCCTTAATCAGAAATCACATTCAGCACTTATCCATTAGACCAGTATTTAAAGTTTAGAAATAAAAACAAGAATTAGAAGTTTATCACAAAACTGTCATTTTCTCATCACCTCTCACCCTGCCCAATGTTTTTCTTCTAAGGAAGGAGAAAGAAGTGATCTCAACCATAAGACAGAAAATATTTTGGAAGTAAACTGAAAAGCTTCTCAAGTAATTTTTCTTCTAGTTCCTGATGTTTACAGGAAGATGCTTCACTTAGGAAAAAAAAGTCATTGAAATGTGAGACAATGTATTTTTTTCATGGAAAATTCTAAAACTACGCACAAATTACTTTATTCTATAAAGATGGCGGATTTTCATTTTGCATTAATATATATGTGATATGTTCTTTGCATTACTACACTAACATTGAGAGTTATCTAAGGGAATAAGTATCAGAGGTCATGCACTGAAAGGAGAAGCCATTTATGCAGCAATGTCTGCAAGCTCTTTCTTCTGAGGCAGAATCTGAAGCTAGATACTAACAGTGAGCTAATTTCCAATAACAACAATTTTTCATTATGACATACTAGCGTATACGAAAAAAAACACTCATGATAGAAATTCTCATTGCATCTGCATTGCTGGCCGT